TGCCCAGATGTCAAATACGGTCAGGAATTGTTAGTGCCTGGCTTTATTGGACGTTCCATTTATATAATGTCACTTCTTTTATTAAGTAATACGGTTGCAGGAGATATATGCACATTTATGTATACAAAAATCTGTCAATGGCTCTACTCTTGCACGTGCACGGTGTTGGACGGATATACAGGGTGTAAACGTTATGGTGGTCATTATTGAAATGGGTAATAGGGAGTGGGGTCAAATCAAGTCAAAAATGACCCATGGTCCAACAGTCAATAGGTTTTGGTCTAAATGGCTTTATAGTTTACAACTTTAAGTGCTTTGTATCGGCCACAATCACCACAATCTTACTAATTTTTATAATCTAATCTAAAGCGTTTTTAAATTGGGTAATTAACAAATAAATGGCATTAAGTTTTCCTAAGTTAAATCAAAATTTGTAGTCAGTAAGTAAGTTTCATTACATTGAATATTTAAAACACACATGACAACAGTGCGTCGGTCATCATCACTCTTATCGAACCGGCAATCTATCGCAAACGGTACAGTGGTTAGTGATCGGGCATCGGGCTTGTTGTTTTGTTTTTGTTCTCGTACGTCGTCGTGTTTATGCACAATGTTCTCGAATCATGAGTTCGCCGATATGTTGTTAGTTTACGGTGAAGCTCGTCAGAATTCAAATCTTGCAGCTCAAATTTATCGCGACAGATTTCGCCAACGGGTACACCCAGACAGAAGGACATTTGTGCAAGTGTACCAAAGACTTCGAGATACAGGAAGTGTTCAGCCCACTAATATTCACACTCGTGAAAGACAGGTTACTGTAGAGTAAGAGGAACAAATTTTAAATATCGTGGAAATCAATGCAGATATCAGCACTCGCGAATTAGGCCGCCGCGTAGGACTATCGCATTCCATAGTCCATAGAATCCTGCTTTGCCTCTACCATGTACAATGAGTGCAGGCCTTGTTACCAGAAGACCATCCTCGCAGACTAACATTCTGTCAGTGGTTTTTGCACAAAAACATTGAAAATCCGGATTTTTTTAAAAACATTCTAGAGACGGACGAATGTACTTTTACGCGAGACGGGATATTAAATTTCCACAATCCTCACACGTGGGCCCAAGAAAATCCTCATACCATTCGTGAAGGTCATTTCCAACAACGTTTTAAAATAAATATTTGGGCGGGTATTCTTGACGATCAGGTAATTTGCCCTTTCGAATTACCCTCAAAGTGGTCAGGAGATACCTCATCTTTCTAGCCAATAACCTACCAGAACTTTTGGAACAGACCTTAGACAACATGCCATTACAACGGAGACAGAATTTGTGGTTTCTTCATGATGGGGTACCACCACACATTTTTAGAGGCGTCATTCAGTATTTGAATGAACATTATCCAAATCGCTGGATCGGTCAAAATGCTCCTGATTCTCGAAAATGGCCAGCAATATCTCCTGACCTCAATCCGATGGAATTCTGGTATTGGGGCGAACTTAAAGGGATGAAGCACAAGTTCGCGAAAAAAATTTTAATGCGGCTGAAATAATAAATGGACAACTTCGAGGACCTAGAGTAAGAAGAAACTGGGTTCGTCTTAATGAAGCTTGTGTGGAAAGTGGAGGACGACATTTTGAACATCTTTATATACAAAAAAAGTGCAGTGTGGGTTTTAAAAAGACAAACAATCAAAACTGTGTTCCCTATTTATAAGTGGATTTTTTTAATACGTTCAATAAACTTTCACATACCAGGTCAAGCGCTGAGACAGTTAGTGGTAAGTCCGTTATTTTTAACTGTTTACATTTTACGAGTACATTATCAAATAATGAAATAATACCTAAGAGCCAAAAATAACAAAATCCATCTTTATTTACACTGCGTTCCGTCGTAATTTGCTTCTGGCATTGCGGCCTTGTCAGATTTTATTTTACTTTAAAGTCTCTTTTCTCTAAATAAATGCCGTTTTGACCCCCATGTAATATGAAACTTTTTGCTTCTTTCAAGCCCATCTATCACCCATTTAAATAATGACTATCATAACGTTTACATCCTGTAGATTATTGTTAGTAGGCTTTTGCTGAGCCCATTTATTAACTACAATAAAATAGAAATTGATGTAGTTAACAAGTTCATGTGTATGTAGCTTTTTACAGGTGGAGAAATTTTTTTAAAATATGTAGGTACTTGCAGTACAACCTACGTACTAGTATGCATATACATTCATTGATTAATGTATTCCACTGCATATTTCACAGAACTAATTCTGCAAGTGATTAGAACGTGCATAATTAATTATATACACCGAGCATAGCGTAAATACTTTGTAATCATCATTTTTGTTTACATGAAACTGTACATTGAATTTAAAGTAAACCGCCTTAGATGTGTTGTTTATACAGATGGCCATCATCTGATCATTTATTTTAGGATTGAAGTTATTAAAATCAAGGTAATCTGAACTGCATATACTATTTTTATAACATAGTATTTTGTTTTGAAATGTGAGCTTCATACTTTTAATTACTAGAGTTATTACCGAGGTTTAAGTCTTTCGCACGTTTTATACGAGTATATCTACATACTACGTCACGAACATCCATGTCACTCATTTGTCGGTATGCCTGTCTGCCTATTTGTTTTCCGTTTGTTCAAGTGTTACTTTTCTGGCACTGCGCAATATCGGTAATTTTAGCACCGATTTTGAAGTTTTGGAAGTAAAAAATATAAATCAATTTATAACCTTTCAGAATATTCTGTAAGGAAGACGCCATTCTAACTGTTCAAAGCATAATTTATTACTGCTACACTAATTCATAACACTTGCAACTAACTTATAACAAATTTATAACTGTATCGACTAGGCAATATTCTGCCTTAATTCTCCGCTCGCGGTCCACTGACTCGACTGCGTTTGACTGCCTTCGCCATCTGATCAGGTATTTATTCCCTTAACGGCGAGTCCAGAAACAGTCCAGCGTTTTCCAGGCAGAGTCGCGAACGTCCAGGGAAGTAGTCTAGATGGCAGTAGATATATCTCGAACCGCGGTCAAAAATTCTAGAAGATGGTCGCAAGCGCTCATGGCCGGTCGTGTCACTGGTTGCCTAAACATACTAAGAGGTAAGTAGTTGATACATTTAACATATAATAGGATTAATTGCTTATTTACAACTGAGTGTCTAGTTTTCTTGAGAGCTTCTCGTGTTAAGTACTTGTAGTCTAATACTTAGAGCTGCATTTTATGACTAGGTCCTTTTGGACAGTACCCTGAACCCTGCTCATCTCTGATATTACTGAATCATTGTTTCAACTAAAATTATGTCGTTTAACAACTATTTGTTTTTCGTGACGCGCTTTTGTAGTTATGTATCTAGCGAAGTTTCAGTTAAACTGGATTATTTACGTTTTGGCACTATATTGTCCCTAGGCTGCCGCCAGGCATGCAACATATTATAAGAATGTACTAGTACCAAGATAAATGTTTCTGAATTCTACTCAGCTGGCTAGTACCAAGAAACTATACTTGACTTCTATAGATCTCACGGTGTTTCGAAGTTATGGTTATGCTCTAGTAGCTGCTGAGCCTAAAGTATAAAAATTCGTAATTTCAGCTGTTCACACACTCCACTTCAAAGATTGTAATTGCGGAAAGAAATATACAGCGAAGCTGGTTCCAGTTGTCTTGAGCCTCTTTGATATCTTTTACGAATCCGGTATTTTCCCAGAGGACTGGAGATTTGCTCATGTCCACGACAGTATGGTTTCTGACTCCAGCGATCAACGGGGAATCTCCTAGCTTACGTCACACAAATGTGGGGCAAGCAGTCATACGGTGAGGACCAGGGACCTGGGTAGCCCGGTAATTCAGAGTGTCGATACACCGGCTAAACGGACCGCGACTTCGAATCCCGCCCTCGGAAATAACATTCTGAGCTATGGATATAGTGGTGATGGTCATATGCACATATGAGTGCAGTTGATATCGATTAAAATTAAGTCAAAATCAGTGTCTGTGGTATGGCTTCAAGCCAGACTACCCAGGCCACTTCAAATGAGTTGGTTGATTGTGCAAAAAGCGCAGAGACCAATAAATGATGAATAAATGAATATGGTGAGGCTCATGACTTTGTTCTTGATATCCCGACAGAATTCGATCAGCTGTGGCATGGTGCCCTCTTACGCAAACTTCTATCCTATGGCCTCCTAGAGAAGCTATGCAGGTCGTTAATGGTGGGTTCTCCTCTTCATCCCTCAACGTCAACGCGGGTGCTCCACAAGGATCGGACTTGTATCCAACATTGTTTCTATTACATATCAACGACATCCTTTCCTGTACGACCAATCTGATCCACAGCTTTGCATGATGACATCGTTCTACATGCAGGAATTTAGAGTGCCAAACCGATCTCTGCCAGTATGATGGGGAGTAGCTAGCAGCGATTTCTTATCTAGCAAGAGTTCTGGAGGTTATTACTGCATGGGGATTCAACAATCCGGTAGAGCTTAATGTTTCCAAGACATAGTACTGCACCTCGACTAACAAGAAGCGCCCTAGCGGTAATCTGGCTTAGACCAAGGCTACCAAAGAGCAGTTCATTTCAGCTGGTCAAAGTCCAGATCACCGATGACTTGATCTGGCACGAACCCATGACATCAATCACGGCAGCTGCTGGAGAAAAGCTACGCTATTTGTGGAAGTACTTTTTTCCACACAACCTCCTCACTCTGTAGGCGATAGTGGGGTAAGATGACGATAGTAAGTTTATAATACATTATTTTCAATGCAATTTCAATTTGGTATCTTGTGTTCAATTTTAACATTAACTTGAAACATTAAGAAATAAAGGGAATTATCAAATACTTAAATATTTTAAGATTTTCTATTTAATTTTTTACCTTAAAAATTGGATGTCAAGTTCGTCACAAACATATACCTTACGCTTTGCCTCTGATGCTGTAAGACCAGTGCAGGCGGCATGCACCCATTTACTTCAAGAGGATCAGGCATACCAAAGTTCATCTTTGCCCGATTCACTGCAAATTAAACAAACTTCTTCTGTATCTCCGACGTAAACGATGACATCATCACTTTCCATGTAATCTATTGATATGGAGGAATCTGAAGACACACTGTCATTATCAATCTTTATTTGTCTAACATGCTTCTGCTGTTTTTTCTTTTGTGTGGCCATCTCGTTTATTAGCATTTTTTCTAGCATTTTTAGCATTTCTTTTCTGACTTTCGTTTTTCTTCTCCTCTTTAATTTTTTTCTCAGCTTCTTTACTTTCCAACAGGAGTACTAGTTATATTTCTTTCTTGGTTTTTTTGTCGTGGGAATAGCAACAGGGAGTTGACGCAAGCCAAATAATGTTTTAGAAGGTCCAGCTGTAGGTTCGAGGGTAGCAAGTGAACTTTTTTTAGATGGTCCTGCTATAACTGCAGAGTTGACAAGTACTAAAGAAGCATCAGTATCACTTGGGTTTAATTCAGTATAGTTGAAATCACGAAAGATGACGATTCATCACGTCATCACATTAGTCTGTAGTAAAGACTAACGACAGCGATTTGTGAATATTTTTGATGAAGTTTCGGATATGTTAGACAGAGACAAACAGAGATTTACTGTCTAAACAAACTGTATTGCTGAGTTGCATGTATCCGACAAATATAGACGATGTTTTCATGTTGCATGATTGATCACATTTGAAAGATGAATAGTTAGTTAGGTTATGTTAAAGCAGGTTAGGTTGTTTTCGAATAATACTTTGGTCCTTGGTGTTCCTGTCTTAAAATATTCTATACATAACTGTTTTTTTCAAAACAAAAACTCCCCACTAAAGTTATTATTAAGGTATCACTCAAAACCATGAAATAAAATGAAAATAAAAATAATCAGTGAAATTACCTAACTTCGCAAAATGAGGATATTAATTTATTGTCATTATGTTCCTGACATCGTGATTTTATCATCGACGTACGTCCATTGATTACTTCAGCACAATTTATGGTATGACGTAATAGTCATCTTTCATGATTTTGACTACAGTAGCTGTAGTTTGTATTGACATATCATTGTCAGAAGAGGGGTTTTCTCTATTAAGATCTTTTGGCACTTCGAATGGCTTATCTGTTGTCATTGAAGGCTCATAGTTCGAATCATCAAAAATTTGAGAATTTAGTGGAACTAAAATAGTTGCTTTAAAACCTTGAACAGCATTTTTATTGTGGCAACCTTATTGTAGGCCACACTAAAAATCCCTGCCACATCTTTAATTGTAATGACTTGACCTGGATGTTGCATTAAATAATCATTGCATGCCCGGCTATAAGCGGTTTTAAAGGGTCCGTAAAAAGACACATCCAACGGTTGCATACGACTACTTGTATGAGGAGGAAAACCCAAAACATCAATAAAGTTTTTTCGACATAAAGTTACTGCCGGTAAGGTTACGTGCGACGAATGGTTGTCCATTAAAGGTAAAATAGGATTGTCCTTGGAAGGCCTTACATTGTTTATAAAATGTTGTAACCACAAAAGAAAGGTGTCCGCGTTCATCCACCCCGATTCATTACAGACGCCTGAGGATCCCATAGGTGCACCATTTAAGAAATGCTGTTGCATTCTTACTCTCGGGAAAATAAAGAATGGAGGAATATATTGGCTCACAGCACTAAAACAACATGCCACACTGACATTTGTGCCCTTTTCGGCAGAAGACACTTTTATGACTCTACGGGTTCCAATTGGACTTAGCACGCTTGGAGTTTTAGTAGGTACAGTAGGACAGCCGATCTCATCTATATTAAAGATTTGATGAGGAGCGTAATTTGTTTTGGCCAACACTTGTTCTATTAAAAGCTTGCAATCCCGCTGCGGAAGCACCTTCGGGTTTTCTTAATGAAAACCTATATTTTTGCATAAAGTCTTGAATAAAGTCTTTTCCTGCCTTCTTAGTAATATTGTTAAAGCGGTGAGAAATCCTAAGCGTTTCGGCATAATCATAGACAATTCTTGCAAACTGTTCTCGAGTTATGCCAAATGCTCTTTTATTTACATCTTCTAGATATTGCCTTAGATTTTCCATTTGCTCATTTGTAAATGTGCATCTAAATCTTCCGGCACTGACTGGCATATTATAAAAATAATGTTTAACTTTTTTAAGCATACAAATAAGTTATCTAATATTGCACAAAAACAATAACAATAATAATATAAACAATAACGTTATTAAATATTTAGTTACCTCCTCAGAATATTTCTTAGCGTAGTGTCGCAATGAGGAAGTTTATATTTTTTTGCTGTGCCATTACAGACCATCCACCCTTTACTTCTTCTATAGCAGTGATCATCGCTTCCTTAGACAAACTTTGCCGATTCGTCTTTCGTTGATATATTTTTACCATGTTGTTTACTGCAAAAAAATCGTAAACCCTATTTTCAAATACTGATTTACAGAGATCGGGTAAGATGACGAACTCGTCATCTTATCCGCTTGGAAGATTCGTCAACATACCCGACACCAAAATTTTATATAAATTTAACAATAGACAAAAACCCACATGTATTTTGAGAAAACTTAATAGACATTGCACATACAATAATTATACCTTTATGAAAATACTTGCTGCGAAGAAAAAATCCCTAATTCACAACCACAAAATCTGATTTAGTCGACCACGATTTTTACAACGACATATACACAATACATAAATGTCATTAAGACTGAATGCAGGTTTCATAGACTAGAGAGTAAAAAGTGGCGCTATCTAGTAAGCGTGTCCGAAAATAAACAATTCGTCATCTTACCCTCCTCTCTTCTACAAGGCCTAGTCAAGATCTATACTATAACTATCTAAAACTGTAATGACTCATCGATGTTCACGTGAACATCACTTAACTACCAGCAGTCGGCTGTTCATAGGCGGGGTTTGAATGTTTAACATGGGTGAACTAGATTTGTCACATGCTTAATAAAGAGTGGTTTGAAACATATTGTAAGTCAAAAATTTGGGAATTACCTTTATTCATCGTCGCTTGCACTTACATCTGACAGTAATAAACTGTCGCTATCGCTTTCCTCGTTGAAATTGACTATAACTGGCTCTATGATGGTGACGATGTGGTGGTCAAGCTGCCACATTTTTGTTTCTTCCTTCACAACATGACGGATAGCATTCTGCCAAGCTTCGGGCGTTACTAGCTGTATGGAAGTCTCAAGTAAAACCTTAACGTCTGGTAATTTGAAGGTTGTGTTATGGCGCGCAATATAACCCTTCACTTGAGCCCAGATGAGCTCTATTGGGTTCAGTTCACAGTGGTAGGGCGGTAACCGCAGCACAGTGACACCACATTGACGCGCCATCTCATCAGTCACGTAACTAATGTTCGCAGGTTTGTGCTGTTTAATTTATTCATACAATTCCGCTTTCACACATGAATCGTCAAACGGGATACCTTTTTCGCGCAACCATTGCTGCATGTCACTTTTTCGAGATCCCATAGTCGGTACACTTTCGGCTCGACGACTACGGTAGGAAGCACTATCCATGACGATCACAGAGTTGGGCTCAACTCGCTGAAGCACCCCTTGAAACCAGCTCTCGAAGCAGCTGGCATTCATTTCGTCATGGTAATCACCTCCTTTCTTAGAGACGAAAATCAAGTCACACTCTTCTAAAAAGCCACTATCGCTACCAATATGAGTTACGATCAATCTTTGACCTTTCCCTGACGGTCCACGAAGACCTGTTGACAAACCTTCAATGCTTGCTTGTCGGTTACTCACTACGTATTTGTCTATCCAGGTTTCTTTAACTGTGTGAACTGCATTTACCCATGTCTCGTCCAAATAATAGATTTTTCTGCTTTGTCGCCTATATTCAATCATTTCGCGTAGGTATTTTCGACGCCAGGCGACTATTTTAGGTCTCTCTATCAATACTGACTTCCGATTACGCGTTTCGTAACGAAAATTAATTTCGTGCAGGGATTTCCTCATTACCTCGACGCTCATTTGGGGTATAATTTCATTTTCCTTGATCGCTGCATGTACAGCCTTGAGGGTTGGTATCTCATTCCTGAAGAAGAATGAATGTACGGTTCGCCTTAACGCCATTTTGCTATCGTCATCCAATTTAACGGTCTTTCGTCCCTTCAAATTAAACTTTGGATCAGTAGTAGCTCCAGTTTTCTTCTTTTCATGCACCACCCTGCGAATGGTCCACTCGAGCGCCTGTCATACTTTCACAACGCGCGAGAGCATCTCCCTGCGACATAGTTCTGTTCAGATAATTGAACACGTTGAGCACGATTTCTTTCGCGTCCCTCTTCAGTGCTTTACGAAGCCGTCTACTTGTTCCCTGGCTTTCAGTACTTCCACTCATGCCATTTGTACTCTCCATGGTTAAGCATAACCAAAACAGTAACCACAGAAACCACAACAATAACAATCACACAACAATTCTTATAAAAACACACAATATGCGATCGCTCAACGAAACACGTTCCAATGGGTTGCCGACGCCTATGAGTCTGCCGGTCGAGGCGCGTCTTTGATTTCATTGGTTCTACAGGCGGAGAACAATCAGCCATTATTTCCATCTCTGTCTGTGCTGTTGACCACCGCAAAGCCACAGAAACGACATATGTCGTACGCTATACGGCTGTAGGTACTGGAAGGAAGCCGGGATCGAGCTCTGATCACGTGTTGATCACGCGTATGAGTCATTACAGTTTTAAATAGTTGTAGTATAGTCTCGAGTACCCCTCACATGTTATGGATGGTGCAGCCCCGACTACATTGTTTATACTCAGAGTTCAGGAGAGGGCTGTCCGACGGATCGGTGACAACGACGGGCAGTCGGCGAGCTGGGGCTGTCTTCTACCGCTATGTCAACGCACTTTGACTTTGGCCTTCCATCCTAGCCGTGATTCTACTTCGTACATCCTGAGCTGGCCGATACGACCGCTCCTTTGTTCCTAGGCTGTCCAGATTGTGCCTGAGGTGGTCTTGTCCTGGTAACATTAGGCACTTCCGGTATTAGACAAAGCATTGCAATGCTTTTTAAACTACGAAATTTTTTCAATAGACGAGTCGCGTTGGGGTCGCTTCTAAGCTCTACAGGGTTTGTCCGGAAAGTAATAGGACTGAGTTGATTTAAGTTTATTGAGCCACTCGTTACAATTCTTTAAAAACTTTCAAAATAGGCTCCTTCTGCGTCGATGCAGCGCTGCCAGCGCGATTTCCAAGCATTGAAGGCGTCCTCCGGAATAGCCCTGAGAGCCGCGGTGCATGCTGCTTGGATCCCCTCTGTCATCTCAAAATGCTTGCCTTTCATCGGCCTTTTCAGGCGAGGAAACAAAAAAAAAGTCCATGGGGGCCACATCTGGGCTGTAGGGCGGCTGCGGAAGCGTTGGGATGCCGGCCTTGGTCAGGTAGCTGTTCACAAGAAAGGCGGTGTGAGCCGGGGCGTTGTCGTGGTACAACCTCCAGTCGGCTGCGATGTCTTGTCGGACCCGACTGACCCTTCGTTTAAGTCCCCTGTGCACTTCCACGTAAAACTTGGCGTTGACGGTTTGTTCAGGAGGAACAAATTCATGGTGGACGATGCCTTTGATGTCAAAAAAGACAATGAGCATCGTTTTCACTTTGGATTAGCTCATTCTTCCCTTTTTTGGGCAAGGAGACGCCGTCGTCTGCCACTCGGAAGATTGCCTCTTTGTCTCGGGACCATACTCAAAGATCCACGACTCGTCACCTGTGATTACGTTATTCAAAAATTGGGGGTCACTTTCACACATGTTCAAATTTTCTTGGCACACTTCCACTCGCCGCAAATTCTGGTCGTCAGTGAGCACTTTTGGGACCTTCTTCGCGCATACCTTGCGCATGTTCAAATGCTGTGTCACAATGTCATGAACCACAGATTTTGGTAAATTTAACATCTGGGCAATTAAACGAATACTTAGTCGACGGTCTGAGTTCAAAACTTTGTGCACACGAGTCACATTATCGGTGTTTGTCGAAGTCGAAGGTCTTCCAACACGGTCTTCATCAGCGACCTCTTCCCGGCCCTCCAAAAAGGCCTGGTGCCACCGAGACACACCACTTCTTGCTAAAGCCTGCTTGATCATATCAAACGTCTCTGTCACAGATTTACCGAGTTTCACACAGAATTTAATCGCTTACCTCTGATCTAACGAACGCTGCATTTTCGGCTTGCACCACTCACAGAAACACGTCGCGCGAAAATGCCTGTCCTGACTCTCCAAGTGCTCGGAGACAACTGACCAGCTGCTCATTCGTTAGCTAGAAACGCCCTTTACCGAATCCAGTCGGTGCGCGCAAGTACAGTCATGGCGGATGAAAATGAGTCCTATTACTTTCCGGACAAACCCTGTACAATCAAGCGCACAGACGAACTGTACGGGCTTGTTTGGCTGACTTGATACATTTAATTTTTTGTTTTACATGTGAGTAGCTAAGTTGTGCCGAACATAATCCTTTATGAACTGATGCCAGTTTTGTGAGAGAAGTGCAGAGTCAGCCTACTTGACAACATTTTTGTATAGGTAAAAGTGCTTATTCACTGGTCCTTGATTTACGATATATCGCTTTTTCTTCAAGTTCATATACAATTCGTATACCTCTTAATCCAATCAAGTAGCTATCCATTGTAAAGTATGAACATTTTTTTCAGTGTACGCTTGTTTGTTGAATTGAATGATAAGCACGGATTAGAAACATTCGAGACTATGCATTGAAATTTAGATACACATGTTAATGTGCTTTGAACGTTCCTAGAGATCACACTGCTGACAACTGCCTGACGACACGGTAAAAAAATTTTCACTATGGCGGATGCACCAAAAATAGAAAAGATCGAAGATCTAGTGAGCCAGTACATCGACAAACATAAGAAAATCATTAAAACAAGTATAAGCAGGCTAACACAGCCAGGTGATAACTATGGAAGTGAAATGATGAGAGTTGACATGGTATTAAAAGACGAAAAAAGTAAAGAGGAAGAGCTCCATGTAGTGGCGAAAATGATTCCCGAAAGTGACTTTTTCAAAGAAATTTTCAACGTGCAAGTTAGCTTCGTCAGTGAGATGCGATTTTATGACACAGTGGTGCCAGTCCTGGAAGATTTTAGAAGAAGACAAGGAGCTAAGGTGAAGGATATTTACCCTAAATTCTATGGAGGAAGGAAGAATTTAAATGGTATGGAAGGACCAGTTGATGCAAACGCTGTACTGTTAATGGATAACATCAAAACGAAAGGTGAGATATTTTTAGATACAGTTTCGCTCACATTAGCCATACTCATATCGTCTACACAAGGATGTCGTCAGTCTTATATGCAGGGTGATTGAGAAGAACGCGGCAATATTCCTAGAGTGGAAGGTACATACAAAAATAACAACATATACAGGGTGTTAATAGAGTATGTAAACAAACTTCAACCACCAAATCCTTGGTCAATTTAAAGACTAGATGTTCATATGAACATGGGTCCGTAACGGCTTTCTTTTCGAGCTAGAGCACTATCGCTAAAGAAATACGAGCAATGTTCCAAATATTTCTATGAATAATGAGACGGATTGATTGAGCTGTTGGTATAACCTATGTTTAATTTTGCATGTTTTACAAGTTACTGAGGCTCAGTATGAACGTGGATGAAAATAGTAAAGTATCCACCTTCGGCTTCAATACAGGCGTCTAGTCTGTTACACATTGACTGACGAACTATCCTGAAAAGTATTAGTATTAAGAGTATTTTGTATATTCAGACATGACTCGACAATTCTGACTCTTAAGTCCTCCACGATTTGAACAGGAGTCTTGTATACTAATGATTTCAAATGTCCCCTTAAAAAGAAATCGATAGGATTCATGTCAGGCGATCTAGGCGGCCATCTGTGGTCCGCCTCTTCCAATCCACCGATTAGGTATTCTCGCCCAACGACACTGAAGTGTGATGGAGCACCGTCATGCATATTCCACATGCGACGTCGTTCTCTAAGAGGAATTTCCTCCATTAATCTAGGTAGGTCAAATTTCATAAATCTTCGGTAATCCTCGCCGTTAAGACTGAGGGGAAGGAAATGGGGGCCAAGGGCCAAGCAAGTGGCTACTAAAGTTTCCAATCCAAATATTGAAGGAAAAGTAGTGATGCGTATTATGTTCAATTATGGCATGGTGATTTTCTCCCCACCATACATGGTCATTATGGAAATTTATTATTGCTGTTCGCTAACAACATTCTTCATCCGTGAATAGTATTCGATTTAAAAAAAATTGATTCAGTGTTACTTTTTCACGTAACTAGTTGCAAAATCAACTCTTATAGGCAAATTTTGAGGCAAAAGCGCTTGTACTCGTTGTATATGATATGGATAAAGTTGCTGATACCGTTACATATACTAAGTGACATATAAATCCGAACACCCAGTTTAAATGGTTTTATTTTAATAAAAGCTGGTGAATGTATTTATCTTACTGTAAATAACAAGTGAAAAAATTTTCAGCCTTATCAGTTGGACATTCCGGTTTTTTTACTGCTTTTTTTTTAATTCACTAACGCTCTAAAAATGAATATTTCAGCCGCAGTAAATAATCAACGTTGGCGGATTTTGGTTCTTGACATCCTTTACGATCGGTTACGATGCCTAGAGTACGGAGACCTGTACGATTTCGTCAACTTAGTGAGTTTGATAGGGACCGTATAGTGGGACTTCGGTAAGCTGGACTTTCTTTTCGGGCAATTGCAGTTAGAGTGCAAAGAAGTATAGACACTGTGGTTAGGTGTTGTCAGGCATGGCTTCGAGAAGGCCGTACGCAAAGAGCAAGAGGCACTGGACGCCGCCGTAGAACAACAGACCGTGAAGATCGCCACCTAAAATTATTGGCCTTAAGGGACCGTTTCTCCACTACCAGGTCCATTGCAAATGAATGGTTTGCAGAACACGGAAGACCTATTGGCATGCGAAGTGTTTGCAGACGAATGAGAAGTTTTGGCTTGTTTTCATACCGGCCACACTGGGTCCTCCCTTTAACTCGAGAACACCGACGTAATCGCCTTGAGTGGTGCAGACAACGGTCACTCTGGGATCAGGAATGGAACAGTATTGTCTTTAGTGACGAGTCTCGATTTTGTTTAGACATGCACGATGGTCGTGCCAGGGTTAGAAGGCGACGTGGTGAAAGGAGGAATCCACAGTTTTTTGTTGAAAGACATGTTCATCACACTGTTGGAGTTATGGTTCGGGGTGCTATAGCTTATGGTTCCAGGTCACCGTTAATCTTCATCAAAGGTAACATGAACGCGTAGCGTTATATCCACGAAGTTCTAGAACCCCATCTTTTACCTTATCTTGACACCCTGGCAGATCCAACTTTCCAACAAGATAATGCCCGACCACATGTTGCAAGAGTCACAATAGACTTCTTTCAACATAATGATGTCACATTGTTACCATGGCCACCAAGATCTCCCGACTCATCCCCAATTGAGCACGTGTGGGATATGATGGGTAGAAGATTGCTCAATTTGCAACGTCCTCCTCAGACTCTAGAAGCACTTCGTGAGGAGTTGGTGGTTACCTGGAATGAGATACCACAGGAGGACATTGACCACCTGATCAGAAGCATGCCTAGGCGCGTTGGAGAATGCGTAGCACATCAGGGTGCATCCACACATTATTAAAGGTCAAAGGGCTTTAAAGCAGTGCAATCATTTTGAAATTTTTATCATTTACTTATTATGCTTCATTAAGTACTTATACAAAATTTTATTAAAATAAAACCATTTAAACTGGGTGTTCGGATTTATATGTCACTTAGTATAATTAAAATTTAGCTGTAGCGCATTTTTTGTGTGTACTTGTGTTGTAGGGCCCTCTTCGATTTTATTAAGCACAGCTTCTTCGATTTGGATGGTTCTTACACTTGCGCGTCTTCCTGCAACATATGTGGATATCTTGAAACTGCCTGTTTCACATAGTCGAGCATGAATGTTGATGTAAGTTTGTACATTAGGCAGCGGGCGATGTGGAAATCGATCACCACGTCGTGCTCGTCGAGCATTACCCAGAGCCATTCCGTAAACTAAATGCATATCTGTCATTTTTTGATTACTGAACTGTACCATTATGACTATTAGTAATTATCAAAACTTAGAAATATTTGGAATCTTCGAATGATCAGACAAGAAAACAAATATTTGACAGCTGTCGAATTATTTGAGAAAATAAATTAATTGAATTATTTGAGAAAATAAATTAATTCAATTGTTTTCGGGTACGCCATATGTGTCTATATAAGCACAGTGCTTAAATATTGAAAGTATTGCGATCAAAACAAATCAGTGTCATGCTATTTTTTCAAAAAATACTGGATAACATTATTTGTATCTACGTACATTGAGGGTCTGAAAACAACAGTAAATCATGTGATATTCACCACAGGGTATACTTAATTAAAATAAAATTCGTTCCATTCTGTTATAATTTTTTAGAACCGTATCATCATTTATTTTACTGCTAATATGTTCTAGCTTGAAAACAAAGCCGTTGCGGATCCAAGTTCATATGGAAATTTCGTCTTCAAATTGATCAAGGATTCGATTGTTAAAGCTTGTCTACAAACTTTATTAACACCGTATATATATATATATAAACATAGGTCATAAAATGTCCCACGTCTCACTACCGAGATACAGGGTGTTTTGAATTTTCACGCACACATGAGAGTGAATAATAATATGGAGACTGTTCGAATAGCGTTATTGTGAGGTATGATTACTCTCTTAATACGAGCCCCTTCCCATTTCAGTTGGCCCACTTCAAGATTTGTACCAAAATATGCCTTTATAAACTAAGCATGACGAAACTATTTACTTCTAAAACAATTTATTTTCTCAAAAACATTTTAGATACACTCTAGTCGTAAAAAATACATGTTTAAAATCACTTAGACCTATAACTAATAGAACATCTGAACAAATAAACAATGTGCGAATAAATGTGCGAAGTTAACAAAGTAACAACTGAAAGATTACCATTGGGTAACATCACCTTTATTTTTTATTACGACTGAAATTCTTTGGGGCATAGTGTTAACCAACTTTTGGCAAAAATTTGGAGTAAAACAATCCCATATTTCTTGAAGCTTTGGTCTCAGTTGGGTGATTGTACGAGCAGCATGTTGTCGTAGAACCTTTTTCATCTCGTGCCACAAAGTTTCAACAGGTGACAGATCTGGACTGCTAGAAACCCATTTCAAAAGTGGTACATTATTTTCGTCCATCCATTTTCTGAGATATGGCACGCTGCACCATCTTGCTGAAACACAAAATCTTAGCCAGATGTCAAACATTCTTCCATCGCTGGTAAAAGCGATTCTTCTAAAATTGCCAAATATTTGTTTCTATCCTCATTTCTATCAATAAAATGAAGTTTTCCTACTCCTTTTGATGACATACTGCCCCAGACCATAATGGGTGCTGGAAATTTCACTTTTCACTTCAGACAGTTAACATGGAATGCTTCATTTTTTTTTGCGAAGAACTCTACTGCGACTGTCACCAACACAAACTTTGAATCGGGCCTCAGCACTCCATTGTATTGCACACCATTGTTGAGGTGTCCATTGTCTATATTCTTTAGCCCATCTAAGCCGATTTTTCTTTTGCAGTGGAGTTAATAGTGGCTTTTATTTGGCGTACAAACAAGTTGTGCAACTTTAGGGTTTTTACTTCACTTTTTGTGTAAGAAAACTTACCAAGCAAGTGCTAAATCCCAGTTTGTGGGCCTCTCTATGAGTTGTGGACTCAGAGCACTTAATTATAAATAATTGGCACGCCTGTTTTTCACGATTATTCTTCTTAATGCTCTTCAGTCGGCATTTGTGATATTACTTTTTTTCACATATCGTGGCGTAATATTAACTGAACCAGTTACGTTATATAGTCTAACAATATTTCTCACACTGTACCGCGGTAAGTCTAAGAAAGTTGCAATTTCTGAGTTTGATTTCACAGAATTAAAAAATTTAATTATTAGTAACCGAATTTTCTCACTAATAACCTTTCCTCTACCCTTTTTGAAAACCTTAACTACCCAAAAAAAACTATTTTAAACGTATTCTGACAGCTGTGATTAATAAAAACAATTATTGTCATGGATTTTATTTTTCACAGCCACCTATGCGTTACAGACTTATTTTGCATTGAAATGAAAATAGGTTGATATGCTGTAATTGCAACATGTGTTATTTTTATGCTGCAAATTTGTTTAGGGAGTGATAAAGTTGGTGTTTTCTACTATATATTATCAGAATATTCATTGTTAATATTTTAAACCTATAACACATACATTTTTATTATTTGTGTTTGATATAGAAAAAAACTAAGATTTCAATAGTTGGGCCAACTGAAGTGGGAAGGAGCTCGTACATCGCATACGCTTTTTCAAGTGGTAGGGAATGAGTAGCATATGGGGCCATAGTCGCTGGACAGCTCGTCAAAAAGGCTATTTTTCTAAAAAAAAAAAAATAGTACCTAATATTCAAAAAGCAGAGACGGTTGAGCTTTTTTGAATGACATTTCTTGGATGTTATGCACTACAACGCTTCTAACATTTGGCTATTACTTTCGGTTTAGGCTTGCCATTATACAGTTGAACATAAAGGTACAAGTCTACGTTTTTTCCTGCTTTTTTGTAATAACAAATTAATCGTTACAGCAAATTGGCCGTCTATAAGGCTTCGGTCCTTGGACCATTCATTTATTCTAGATTCATTCATGATGCCCTTAGCCCAAGGAACAGTGAAGTCTGACACTGCATACTGCACTGCATACAATGTGCGGTGGAAGGAGTGTTAGAGTAGGCAGATCGGGGGCTGATCAAAATCAACCTTTCAAAAACACAGGTCATCTATTGTGTCAAAAGGGGTCACGGCGCCCCGTCAGAGATCCCTGTGGATGAGACTTTGATACTGTGGGCAAATTCTGTCAGATACCTTGGAGTTACATTTGACAATGGTACGATCTGGCGGAAACACAGAAACGCATAAAACTAAATTCTAAATTACTTTCCGACGACTTGATCCTTAATTATGTAGATCTACAAAATTGAGTTCGGTTAATAAAACGCGGCTTTATAAAATGACTAACAGAACCACCATTACATTCGCAGATGCAGCTTGGTGCTTTATAGCGGATACGCACATCCGAGCTCTGCAGGTCCTGCAAAACAGGAGCCTACGAACCATGACCAATGTATGTTTCAAATGAAACCCTACACGGAAATCTCGACATCCCTTAGGATTACATTAAACATCAGGCGCAGCGATATTGTGAACAAGCACAATCGCAATGCAAGCATTTATTGCTCGAGTCAGCAGACTTCACACTCGAGCAAGCTCGCAAACATTCCAGGCCACGGCTCGCACTGTGAACAAAATTGAATCTCGCAATTTCTTATAATATAAAATTATATTTTAACAAAGCTCCTACCAAATTTTAGCGACGATCCCAGGGTGGGTGCACCAAAAACGGCAGTCACCCAGGAAAACGTCGATGCTGTGCGCAAACTCATCGTTGAAGATAGACATGTGACATGTGAAGATTTCAAAGACCTCAATTCAATAAATTTTACATGAAGAATTAGGAGTAAGAAAATTAGTTTCTCGTTGGATAGCCGATCTGTTGACTGAAGCGCAGAAAGCAGCCAGGGTTAATTGGTGTCAAAAAACGCTTGACTGTTTCAATTCCGGAAATTCAAAAAATGTTTTCAGCATTGTTAGTGGCGATGAATCGTGGATTTACTGTTATGAATCAGAAAATAAACGACAGTCGACTGTTTGGGTGTTCCAAGGTGAAGAAAAGCCGACAAAAGGCATCCGTACTCGAAGTGTTTCGAAAAAGATGGTCGCGACATTTGTGTCAAAAGCGGGTCATATTGCAACAATTCCTCTTAATGAGCAAAGAACTGTTACTGCGGATTGGTATACCACCATTTGTTTGCCACAAGTCATCACCGAGCTTCGAAAAATCAACCCCGAAAGAAGAATCATCCTCCACCAAGACAATGCAAGCTCGCACACAGCCCAAAAAACAAGGCAGTATTTAACGGAAGAAAACGTGGAATTATTGGACCATCCTCCATATAGTCCCGATCTAAGTCCTAACGGATTCTTTGCTTTCCCGAAAATTGAAATCAGACTGCATGGTCAAAAAGGTTCCAGTCACCAGAAGAAGCAGTTGACGCATTCAAAAATGCCGTTTTGGATCTGCCAGCAAACGAGTGGAATAAGAGCTTCGAAAATTGGTTCGAGCGCATGCAGATGTGTATTAATCTTTGTGGAGAATACTTCGAAAAACAATAAAGTCATTTAAAACTATCTACCGTCTTGTTTTATTTCCATATGCAAAACTTAAAAGACATCCCTTGTTGCTCGAGTCAGCTGACTTCACAGTGCAGCAAGCTCGCAAACATTCCAAGCCACAGGTCGCACTGTGAACAAAATTGAATCTCGTAATTTCTTATAATATAAAATTATATTTTAATAAAACTCGAACCAAATTGTTCTTCTTCTTTCATTATTTTTTCTTCTGCTGCCTGGTTTCTGGCAAGGTCAACATAAACTGACTGACGTACAATGACACAAGAAAAAAGGTCCCACGGACCGCTATGACAGACAATGACGAATAGAATAGAATGCAAATTAGCCGTGTTAGGTTTTATTTTGGTCCGCTCAACTATTAATTCATAACTATACTAAGTGACATATAAATCCGAACACCCAGGTTAAATGGTTTTATTTTAATAAAATTTTGTATAAGTACTTAATGAAGCATAATAAGTAAATGATAAAAATTTCAAAATGATTGCACTGCTTTAAAGCCCTTTGACCTTTAATAATGTGTGGATGCACCCTGATGTGCTACGCATTCTTCAACGCGCCTAGGCATGCTTCTGATCAGGTGGTCGATGTCCTCCTGTGGTATCTCATTCCAGGCAACCACCAACTCCTCTCGAAGTGCTTCTAGAGTCTGAGGAGGACGTTGCAAATTGAGTAATCTCCTACCCATCATATCCCACACGTGCTCAATTGGGGATAAGTCGGCAGATCTTGGTGGCCATGGTAACAATGTGACATCATTATGTTGAAAGAAGTCCATTGTGACTCTTGCAACATGTGGTCGGGCATTATCTTGTTGGACAGTTGGATCTGCCAGGGTGTCAAGATAGGGTAAAAGATGGGGTTCTAGAACTTCGTGGATATAACGCTGCGCGTTCATGTTACCTCTGATGAAGATTAAAGGTGACCTGGAACCATAAGCTATAGCACCCCAAACCATAACTCCAACAGTGTGATGAACATGTCTTTCAACAAAAAACTGTGGATTCCTCCTTTCACAACGTCGCCTTCTAACCCTGGCACGACCATCGTGCATGCCTAAACAAAATCGAGACTCGTCACTAAAGACAATACTGTTCCATTCCTGATCCCAGAGTGACCGTTGTCTGCACCACTCAAGGTGATTACGTCGGTGTTCTCGAGTTAAAGGGAGGACCCAGTGTGGCCGGTATGAAAACAAGTCAAAACTTCTCATTCGTCGGTAAACACTTCGCATGCCAATAGGTCTTCCGTCTTCTGCAAACCATTCATTTGCAATGGACCTGGTAGTGGAGAAACGGTCCCTTAAGGCCAATAATCTTAGGCGGCGATCTTCACGGTCTGTTGTTCTACGGCGGCGTCCAGTGCCCCTTGCTCTTTGCGTACGGCCTTCTCGAAGCCATGCCTGACAACACCTAACCACAGTGTCTGCACTTCTTTGCACTCTAACTGCAATTGCCTGAAAAGAAAGTCCAGCTTCCCGAAGTCCCACTATACGGCCCCTATCAAACTCACTAAGTTGACGAAATCGTACAGGTCTCCGTACTCTAGGCATCATAACCGATCGTAAAGGATGTCAAGAACCAAAATCCGCCAACGTTGATTCTTTACTGCGGCTGAAATATTCATTTTTAGAGCGTTAGTGAATTAAAAAAAAGCAGTATAAAAACCGGAATGTCCAACTGATAAGGCTGAAAATTTTTTCACTTGTTATTTACAGTAAGATAAATACATTCATCAACTTTTATTAAAATAAAACCATTTAAACTGGGTGTTCGGATTTATATGTCACTTAGTATATTTGAATATACGTGAAAATGTGATTTTTTCAACATTGACCTTCATCCGACAATTTTTTTTCTAGATGGAGGAGCCGTTTCAGATATCCTCTAGAATATAATTCCTTTGAAAAACTGTTTATTAATTTTTTTTCTGAAACTGGCCCGATTTTTGATTAGTTAGTAGATGAAAATTCAGTATGTTATGGTTTATAGCGTTGTATGTACTTTCTAACCCACGCTCATGGGGAGCTTATTTTATTTCGTTAGAGATGATTGCGACTAATTGTGAATCGCTTCGTTTATTTCAGGTTTCGACAACCTTGATCGTCACAAAGGATTCGATATGAAGAGCACCAAAGCGATTCTTGAAGTAATAGCTTACTTTCATGCTACACCTTTTGCTTTGAAACTGCTGGAGCCAGAAACTTTCGAAAAGAAAATAAAACCGCATTTGGCTTGTTTCCTTGAACACAAGAAACCAGAAAAAGATGACAACTTTGAAGAGAATTACGTGTCGTTCATCAGTGAATGTAAAGATTGTGCGCCAGCGCTTCCCATGGTGAAGAAATGCATTGAAAAGTCTGAGTACATGAAAGTAGAGAACTTCAGAGAACCCTTCAGTACTATTGTACACAAAGACATTTGGGTCAATAATATTATGGTGAAATTCAGTGAAAGTGACGTAAATATCAAACTGGTTGACTTCCAGTTTTATAGCTACGATAGTCCAGTGGACGATTTGATGTTTTTCTTGATGACCAGTGTACCTCTAGACCTACTTAAAAGTCACCTGGATGACTTCTTGCAGTGCTATCACAAATGCTTCATTCAAGTTCTGGAAGAGCTGAAATGTAGTACTGTTGGATTCGGTTACGACAAGTTTATTGAGGAAATCAAAGAAAACATTGAAAATATAGTTGTACACAGCTTGTGGTTTCTACCAATGGTAATATTCACCGAAAAGGGGAAAAAGGCCGATATAGAAAACAATAAGATACAAGTGTCGCCACTGGCGAAAGAAAAAATTTTGTGGATGGTTCAGGAGTTTTATGAACGCGGTTGGTTTGATAAATTGCGGTAAATCATTTTTAGAGTGTAATACAGAGTTTTAAGTGTGGGTTGAGTCGATAAAAAAAGTTTATTACAAAAATTGTAGGCAACTGTTTGTTCCTTACGTAAAAAATATTTTTATTTTTACATGGTGATTTATAAATACGTGGTTAGCCAGTATATTTTTACATACATCTTTTAAATAAAAGTACCTATATTTTATTGCAGACTTGGACAGGCTCTTTTAAACAAAGCAGCAGCGGTACATTTTATAGGGTTTGATTTTGTTGAGATATTGGACAGCCTAACAAAAAAAAACCCCTCAACGTCGACAACTTGCACATCCGCAGATGTTGTTAGTGTACTAAATTTTTCGCCAGGAAAATTTTGTGATCCATATTTTCTCCCTATCCACTCCTTTAGTCTCCTTGATAGTTTATCGTGATCGAGCGCGCCAACGATTACCCAAAATTTTCAAGTGTTTATTTTCACAATATTTGGTTCCGTTTTTAACATGTTTTTTTGGAAAAAGGCTTATGGAAGTTTTTACGACTGGTTTTTAGTTACAGCTAACCTGTTTGCGTATCAGATATTGAGGTAAATGAAAAATATTACAACACCTTTCAAAATTAAAATAGTTCATATTAAGTTGATCTCAGTAATAATAATAATAATAATAATAATAATAATAATAAATCGTCTTTATTTATAAAGTTACATAGTATCGGGCGAAGTTTAGCTAAATAGCTACTCTACCACTTAACCCTATTATTTTCATGGTTGTGAACCAATGTAAATACATGTAATTAACATGTATATATACAGTGGCTAACCAAAGGAAAACAAAAATATTGCAAGACAATATAGAAAATATAAACAGATTCAGCAACACGTCAAATAAAAGTTTTCTGGCGGTTACTAATCTAAACTACAAACTACTACTTAATTACTACTAATAGTCATTTTTGATAGCAAATGCTGCTTGACACAAACTTTAAATTTAGTTTGAGATACATTTTTGAATGCATCAGGTAGTACGTTATACAGTTTGGCACAATTATACCTAAAAGAGCGAGTAAATAAAGCCGTACGGTGCCGTGGAATATCTAATAATTTGCCATACCTGAGCATGCGATCTCTAACAGATTGCCTGAAAACAATTTTTTTGAAGAGGTATTCGGGAGTTCCCGTGATAATCAAATTATGAATGAACTTCAAGATAAAATACTCGTAAGAACTATTAATATCTAACCATTTTAAACTACGAATACAGTGTGAAACATGGTAATATTTTCTTAAACCGTAGATGAGGCGACAGCACGAATTTTGAATCAGTTGAAGTCTGCGAATTGAGACTTGATCTAAGTAGGGATAGAAAACAATAAGGCAGTAGTTGACTTTTGAGAGAACTAGGCTTTCACAAAGATGTTTTTTCAATTTGAAATTGATGAAATGCCTATTAACAAACAGTGTTTTTAGTACAACAAAGCCGTTTCTTACTAATTTAGATATATGCTCACGAAAACGTAAATCCTTGTCAAGTAAGACACCCAAATTTTTTGCAAGATCCTCATAAACTAAAGAAGTGTCATTAATGCGTACTGTCGTATTATTTCTGATATTAATGATTTTGTTTCTTGGTGCAAAGAGAACAGCTTTAGATTTAGAGGCATTTATCGTTAAGGAGCTATGCTTGGAAAAACTAACAATAGTGGCTAAGTCACAATTCAACTCGTCAACAGCTGCTACACAGTCATCTGGATCAAAAGTTTTACATATTTGTGTATCATCCGCAAAAATCATCACTTCAGAGGAGCGTATCAGTTTCCACATGTCTAATATGTAAATGGAGAACAATAGCGGTCCTAAAACAGAGCCTTGAGGGACCCCTGATATCACATTCTTATATGTCGAATATGAGTTGTCCAAATGTACCCTTTGCATACGATTCATGAGATAACTAGTAATGAACTTGATAGATGCTTGAGAAAATCCAATATATTTGCATTTTGAGATCAAAAGTGAATGATTGATAGTGTCAAAAGCCTTGGAGAAGTCAAGCAGTACACGAGCCGCTGCTTGACCCCGATCCAAAGCCTCAACAATATCATCAGTCACCTTAAGCAGGGCAGTGGTGGTGCTATTCCCTACTTTGAAGCCAGACTGGTTTATTGGAATTATGTTATTCTCAGCGCAGTACTCTTTCAATCGATCATGTACTATCCTTTCCAATATTTTTGATAGAATCGGCGCAGGTCGGAATAAATTAGTTTTTGATAAGGGAACAATTACTGCTTGCTTCCATGCAGAGCGAAAATAGTGAAGTTCCAAACAAGAATTAATCAAATGCGTTAAATATTTGCCAATCACAGGAAGACACAGTTTTATCATATTAGGCGTAATAACATCATGCCCACAGGCATTAGATCTTATTTTAAATAAATGCGAACGTATATCTTCCTCAGTGGTCATGACCAGATCAAATTTGAGCGATTCATCAAGTATGTTATTATCATAAAATTCTATTTCACTAGCACAGAGCTGAGTATTATCTTCAAAAACAGATAAAAAATAATCATTTATCTGCGTTGCGTTACGTAAACTAACAGGTATGTGGTTACGCTTCTTAGTCTGGATGTTCAAATTCCTTATACCCTTATATAAAGAAGATGAATTATTAGTTTCTTGTAAGTGCTGAAGATTTTTTCTCTACGCTGTGATGCAAGAGCATAATTTCTCAGTTGTGTGTATTCTGTCCAGTTCTGATTTGTCCTATTGTGTTTGTATTTTATTAAAGCTGCATCCCTCTGCTTGAAAATAGCTCTTAAGTTTTGCGTTAACCATGGAGCAAAGGGCTTGCTTACCCTTGCTGTACGCAACGGTGCATGTATATCAAACAAAGAAATTATAAGATCATTTAGAAATTCCACTTTGTCATCAATGTCTCGAAAACAAATAATATAATTCCAGTTTATACTCAGTAAGTCGGCCATAAAGTTGTCATGATCAAAATTTTTGAAATCACGGTAAGTGACAATTTTTGTGGGGTCTGATGTTTATCAAAATATGCTTCACAGTAAACCAACCTATGATCGGTGAAGACATCTACATTTAGTGTACCAATATTATGACACTGTTCAGGAAAATTTACAAAAATAGGATCTAGTAATGTAATAGAAGAAGAACAAATTCTTCTAGGCTCATCAATCAATTGTTTAAAAGAATATGAGTCGAAGCAAAGAGATATTTTGTTACTTAGATTTAGCAAATTGACATTTACATCACCCAATATGATCATATGGTCGAAAACAGTAGACAAATGCGATACAAGTGTATCCAGAGTTTCAACTGCAGAATTGAGATTAGCCTTAGGAGGTCTGTACAACAATCCTAAGGCAACTAAAGACGACTTGAATTGAAGTTTCAACCAAAATTGTTCAATTACTGATGGATCATCTCCAATATAATCAGTTATAGAAATATGTTCACACTTTATATTTAAGATCCTCAAAGCAGCCGCGGTACCATGGCATGTAACGTTCACCTGTGCGGTTGCTTCGGTGTAAAATAAAACAGCGATATACCAAGAAGATGAAGACTTTGAAGATCTACTGAGGACAGAATGAAACCCAAAATACTGAATTTTGTAGAGAAAATAGTGCCACAATTCCACAGAAACAAGTTTTCGTAACATTTTCGGATGAGCAAGTGGCAGAAGAAATTTTAATTAAATTCAATTTCAAATACTAGCCAGCGCCAAAGTGCTTTGTGCTCGATATTTTGTTTATTGACAAAGTAATGGTAAAATGAAGATTGTGAACACAGTATGAAAAATCCGAACAATAGGGGACATAACTTTCAAGAACCTTAATTAATACGATTTTTGTGATCACTAATCTTTAGAAAATTTTTGTTACAATTGTAAAATGCGAAATTACTCGATTTAAGCCTTACTTCTACGTATTTTCGTATTCTTAGTTCTTTTTGTCCATGTTGGGAACTCTGTGAAAGTCTTAGCTATGTAAGCAGATCTTGATAATTGAGTTATGTTCAGCTGTTTTAGCTTTTTAGTGTATAACAACACCCTTTATTATTCAAAGACGTGATTAAATCCTTGTGGTATTTTTACTTCTTTCTTCTAGAGAGAGTCTGCATATACAGGGTGTTTCTAATTTGGCACTCACCATTGGGATCTTGGAAACTGCAAGGGATACGAAGTCTCCTATATGGGGTAGTTAGCAAAATGACACTTAGAAAGTTTCGAAATTCAGAGTACATACTTCCGGAGAGTGAGGGAAAAACTGTGTTTTCCAAAAATTGTTTTGATTTTTCCCTGACTTTATTTATATTGGTGTTTTAAAATAAATTGCACATTAACAGTGCCACGTATTCTCCTCGGTTCGTCTCTTTATTATTTCTTAAGGACGCTATATTGCATTTTTGCACAGATGAATAGAGATTACAATTTTGATTCAAAAAATTAATTGACACTGCCAAATCTTAGTTACTTAAAAAAAACAATTTCTTGCAAACAAATAAAATCTGATAATTTGAAGGCCTACCTAGGAACTTCTGGAATAACTAAGGTTTTGTAAAGTCAATGTATATATTTTTGAAATCAGAATAAACATTCTATTCATGTGTGTAAGAATCCAATACGGCATCTATAAGAAAAAACTAAATTGAAGTTGGAAGACAAGAGACTAAACGTCATATTGAAATTCTAATTGTGCCATATTATAGAGGCGAAAGTGTGGCGGAGTTGATGTTCAATTTATTTTGAAATCCCACCATAAATAATGTCAGGAGAAAATTAAAGCCATTTTGGCAAATTTCGTTTCTTACGTTTCTTTCCGGAAGTACTTCTAATTTCAAAACTTTCTAAGAGACATGTTGCTGATTATCTCAATACGCAACTTTGCCTCTATTTAAGCGACTTAAAGTTTCCAAGATCCCAATGGTGAGGTCGAATTTAAAATACCCTGTATAGGGAAAATATTATTTTCAGCAGAAACAGTCGGCCATTTCCTCTCCGTGGGCACCCGTGAAAAAAAGCTGTATCACAAAATCTCCAGAATTCGTTATTTTGTTTTTTAGTCCATCATCTTTGGGCTGGACTTGATGTGTAGAATCATATTTCTTCGAAATATGTTTATACTTTTTATATGAGAATTGAATGGGAATTACTGAGTAAATCTACTTGACATTTTTGGGTGCTGTTATTTTTTCTAGAAAGTGCCCATGTTTTCATCTCTAGAGGAAAATTCGGGCACATTCAGGCAGTTGGACTAAGAATCCTAGATCATTGGTTACAGCAAATGAACATACCCCAACTTTTCCAAAATTGTCTACTTCATTCTGAAAAATTTTACATTCGAATAATGTTTGTACTTGATTTCGAGTTCTGACAATTTACTGGCAAATTATCTACTGACTAATTTGACAGTCACCAAATAGTCAGAAGTTTCTATACGAACAGCGGATTACTTGTCGGTTTCTCAGCCAACTCGTAACGTTCTCATGTACGCAATCAATACAGTCAGCGACGTGTCAGTGACAGCTAACTGCGTAAACTAGGTCATGACCTGTCGCCGAAAATCAGTTTGCTGATTGTCAGCAAACAGGCTGTACGAACAAACCATAAGTAGATAGGGAATCAAAATAGGAACCAAACACTTTTCTGTCGGAAAATTCAGTACACCAGCTATAACAGTTGCGGAGGTGTCAGATATCAAAGTTGACTGTTTTTCTTCGATAGATTGCCCAATATTTTAACAATTTTGAAATGAAATTCTATGTTATGTGATTTCAAATTGTTTAATTTGAAGAGATCTTTCTAAATATGCAATAAGATGTAAGGTTTTTGAATTAAAAAATGTATGTTTGGGTCTTCACGTAGTTATGAATTAATTTACAGAGATAAAAATACTTTCCGGTCAGGAGCATGTACCTGGATACAATTTTTGTGTTCAACTTTCTTATATACCATTGGAAATAATGTGGTTATCGACCAAGCTCATACCAAAAACTCACCCCGTATATAATTAGGTTCAAATAAATATACCGAACAAAGATGAAGGTGAAAACCAAAAATTAGATATACGAATTGTTATTTTATTATTATAAGTTCTATAATAAAACGTACATATGTGTAATTGATTAAATCCGCTTCTCCCCCCAGGTCAAGTACTGTAAAGTATATAGGTTATATGTTTTGCATTAGCTTCGAACAAAGAAACGCTATATTTAAGATAATGTAATAGGCAACGAACATTATTTATTCAACATTTTAGTGGAGCAATAAATACATTTCAAATGTGTAATTAGAATAAGCAGTACGTGAAGTATCTCTCAGCTGGTGTGGCATATCTTAATAGCGGCCGCAAATTGTACAACGGTTATTAAACATATCTTCACCACTAAACCGATTTTAATTTTTTTACATTATACATGTTTCGAATAATTCAATAATCAATGAAATATACGCTAGGATAAATATTTTGCAGCCCTAAAACCACGATTCCGATCTCGTGATCATCCTTTTGAATACTACTTGCATACATATTATCAAGTTTCGGAATAGAATTCAAAGCACATATAAGTGCACACATAATCATACTGGTAGTACCCAGTCTTATAGTCAGAGATTCTATCTTTGGAAAATTTGGAATGCTTAGTTGTTTTTAGTGGTAATATTTGCAAATAATGCCTTAAAGAGTATTAAAAGCAACACTTTGAGCAGTTTGAAAGTGGTTTTAGCTCTATTAAAATAGATCGTCTTACATGCATACGTAGTGCATACTGCGTTTGCAAAATGATAAGAATTAATGACCCTAAGATATCCCTAGAATTTTTGGATTAATCGAAAAATGGGCAAAATGGCCCATCCATGTGTGGACGGAATATAACTCATAAACAAATACATTTTGGGAAAATTTATTTATAAGATGTTATATGTACATGACATTTGAGGGCACATTTCTAAAATATTGGCCATTATACAGGGTGTCCCAATTTCGACCTACACATCAAAGTTGTGATTTTTCAAATGAAATGCCTCAAATTTTATCGCACATTTAGATAAACCAATTCAAAAGAAGAAAATTGATATCACATACTATGAGGTTTTGGTAATTAGGTACTGAGATATAAGGCGTTTTGTCTAAGAAAAACCCCCACTTCGGCAACCCCTCAGTCCATCATTTTGAAATTTGGAGTGTAGAATATTGTATCAAAAAAAAAAACTTACACACCTCAGCTTTTATTTTATTTGTTACTTTTTCGAATTTTAATTTTACTCATACAGGGTTAAATCCATCACCCTGTATATTTGTGCAAGTTTGGATTCATTTTTTTATAGGCTTTTTTTATACTAGACACACAAGGGTTCCTAAGGCTATTTTTTCGGTTATTAGCACGTCTTTCATGGAACGGCTTAATTCCCTAAAATATCGCATCATCCTTGGAAATAAATTAATTGTTGATTAGTTACAAACTGTCAAAATTAGCTTTGTGAGCATTATAATAAAAACGTTTTTGAAAATGAATTTTTCTAAAGAAGAAATGGAGAAAATGGTGTTCGTTTTGGGCGAAGCCTAAAGGAATAGTTTCCTAGCCTCTCGCATTTATAAGCAACGGTACCCTAATATGCGACAGTCAAGGCCGGAAACATTTTCCACACTACGAGAACGTTTTGAATCAAGTGGAGCAGTGGAATATAGTAAAAAATGTATAAATAATCCAAGTGTCACCAATGAGGCGAATCAGTTGGAGGTTCTATTAAAGTTGCAGGAAAATCCCCATTTAAGTGCACGGCAAATTGGAGCAGAAACTGATATATGCAGAACTTCTGTCCAAAGGATTATTCACAAGTATAGGTGCCATCCATATCACCTATGCTTGCATCAAGGCCTTCGTTCTCAGGATTTCGCAGCTCGAATGGAGTTTAGTAGAATAATGCTAAATAAAGTGGGTGAAGACACTAGTTTCCTGGATAAGGTTCTTTTTAGCGATGATGCAACTTTTAAGAGCATAGGGGTTGTCATCAGGCATAACATGCACTATTATGCGACGGCAAACCCTTACTGGGTTAGGCAAATAGATTTCCAAAATAAATGGAGCTTGAATGTTTGGGGAGGAGTTATTGGCAGACAAGTGATTGGGCGTTTCTTTTTCGACAACAGATAAACAGGTACGGAATACTTGAATTTTTTGATCGAGCATTTGCCTTTGCTTTTGGAGGATGTCAACAAACTCGGATACATATGTACTTCCAACATGACGGCGCACCTGCGCATTATCATAATCGTGTGCGTATTTTGGACACCTGGAGTAACAATCGTTGGATCGGTCGTGATGGGCCTATGTCTTGGTCTCCTAGATCCCCAGATATGACACCGATGGACTTCTTTCTATGTGGCTACGTTAAGCAAGATGTTTATAGATATCCACCATCTACCCCGGAAAATATGATGGAAAGGTTTAAGGATGAATTTCTAAGGGAACGCATGCTGAGGGATGTGCAACGGTCATTTATCCAAAGACTCCGGCTGTGTATTCAACATGATGGAGATATTTTCGAGCAGTTTTTGTCGATTTGGTTTTGAGTAGTGATAGTTACTTATTTATGTTGTTATTATAGTTGTTTTTCTCTATTACGCTTGAAACTCATTTATACTGTTCTGATTTTTATTAGTTTTTACGTCAAATCTGTACTCTTAGTGGCAATATGGAACTAGCCCACTGTTTGTCTTTTGTTTCCATGGATGATGTGATTTTTTTTCCTTAATTTTGGTGTGTTGTTCTATTGAAAGCTTAATAACTTAAAATCTAGTGAATTTATCTGAATCAAACCTTGTACCAAAAAAAGCTTATAAAAAATTGAATCTAAACTGGTACAAACATACAGGATGATGCATCTGATATTTTTGAGAAAAAGTACAATTCGCGTTTTTGACCAGCCTGTATGAGCAAAAATGAAAATTCGAAAAAGTAACACATAAGATAAAAGCTGAGGTGCGTAAGTTTGTTTTGACACAAAATTCAGCACTCCAAATTTCAAAATGGTGGATTGAGGGATTGCCGAAGTGGACGGTTTTTCTGGACAAAACATCTTACATCTCAGTAGCTAATTATCAAAACCCCACAGTATGTTAGATCAATCTTCCTCTTTTAAATTGGTTTATCCAAATATGCATTCCATTTGAAACATCTTTTATATGTAGGTCAAAATTGGGACACCCTGTATAAATGCCAATATTTTAGAAATGTGCCCTCAAATGTCATGTATAACATGCAATGAATAGATTTTCCCCAAAATGTATTTGTTTATGAGTAATTTTCCGTCCACTCATTAATGTGCAACCCTGTATACTAGTATTTGAAAAAGGAGTAATATGAGCCTAAATAACAAATTTAAGTCGCTCCACTGGTCACGAAGGTATGCCAAACAACTCATGTAAATTCAGCTTGACGTCGACGTTTAAATATAGCGGCTAAACAACCGCGATTTAGATCGCGTGATCTTGTGTTGTATATGTTGCGGCTAAAACCTGAAATGCGGTGACAAAAAGGCTTAGCCGGTAGCCACTGGCAGTTGGTTAGTCCTAGGTGTAACCTATACATTCATGGCCAAACCTAGTATTAGCCGGTTGCATTCGGTTAAAACTAGGTCCAATCAACTTGATCTCTGCTACACCTAGGTCTAGCTAATCCTTAGTGGTTAAAACTAGATGTAAGCGTCACAAACAGGTTCTGACGTATCGATGCGTGCTGCATTGGTGACTTCCAGAAGTTAATTGTTCCGTTATCCAAAAGGCGAAAATGCTACGTTAAGAATGAAGACATGTTAGATGTTCTTCATGAAATACACGTGGGCATTGGGCACGGCGGGAGAAATAGGATGATTGTAGAAGCTAATACCAAGTACGCAAACAACACTCAGGACGCTGTTCTTATTTATCTTCGTTTTTGTAAGTCATGTCAAATGAAACAAAATTAAATCAAAAAAGGTCTTGTTGTGAAACCCATTTTATCTAAGGGCTGAATAGCCGTTGCCAGGTAGATTTGATAGACATGCACACAAATCCAGACGGCAACTTTAAATTCATATCAGTGTACCAGAAACATCTGACGATGTTCGTATAGCTACGCCCTTTACAAAGTAGGGCTGAGAAAGTATCAACGGTACTGCTGGATATATTTTGCGTATTCGGATCATCACCTATATTGCAATCTGATTATGGTCGGGAGTTCGTTAACCGAGTTGTGGGAAATTTGACATAAATGTGGCCAGGTCCAAAGATTGTGCATGGGAAGCCGCACCACAGCCAGTCACAAGGTAACGTAGAACGTGCCAACCAAGATGTCGAAAAAATGCTCATGGTGTGGATGACCGATGAACATTGTCAAAAATGATCTGAAGGACTAAGATTCGTTCAACTAATGAAACTTAAGGCATGTTATCATGGAATTAAAAGATCACCGTACCAAGCAATGTTTGGTTGTGATGTTACCATTGGCTCAGTCATCAGTTCAATCGAAAAGATCGAAAATGAGGAGGATTTGGAGAAAAACAGTTGAAAAATGACAGTAGTGAGGTAGATAAGACAGAAATCGAATCCCATGGAACTGAAATTACAGAAAATTCAGTTTGCCAGCTTTGTGACCAGAAGGGAGATGAAAAGTGTGACGGGATGTCTCAAAAGCATTTGATGTGGTGTGGCACGCGGGCCTCTTGTATAAACTAATCCAAAAGGGCTTCCCTTTTTGGCTTCTAAAACTACTGAAATCCTTCCTTGAAGGTAGGAAATTTCGGATCAAAATTGACAACGTCCTGTCGACAACACGGCTGATTACAGCCGGCGTCCCTCAGGGTTCGGTTCTTTACTCACTGTACATCCATGACGTCCCTAGTCCCAGCAACTGTGAAGTCTATCTCTATGCTGACGATACTGCATTGGTGGCTCAGTCGTGGTCTGGTGACCTAGTGCATGCCAGGCTGCAAAGTGCGGTGGAGGAAGTATTAGATTGGGCGGATCGGTGGCTAATTGAAATAAACCATTCGAAAACGCAGGCAATCTACTGTACAAAAAGACGTCGCGGCGTTCCGTCTGAAGTTTCAGTGAATGGACTTTGTATACCATGGGAATCCTCAGGTAAGTATCTCGGTGTCATTCTGGACAAAGGGATGACTTGGCGGAACCATATGGAAGCGCTAAAAACTAAATTCCAAATTACGTTTCGGCAGCTTTACCCATTATTATGTAAACGATCAAAATTAAGTTTGATTAACAAGATTCGACTCTATAAGGTGGTCATAAGACCAGCAATGACTTACGCATGTGCGGCTTGGTGTTTTATTGCTAAAACACATGCGAAATCTACAGGTTCTGCAAAGCAGGACGTTGCGCACTAT